AACTTGCAGTCCTAGCGGCAACTGGTGTTCTTCAGTCAGTAAATTGTATGTGTGGTATTGCGACGTGGTGAGCCGCTATCACGGAAGAGAGAACTCGTACACATGACTGCCGCCATGGGCTATACCGACGACTGCCGGTGTTATTGTACGGTGGACTATATACACGACAAACAGGTACATAGATTCACAGCGCCATCTCTGGTGGCGTCGCAGAACCAATACGAATACACAACATATTCCCTCTCTTATTTTTTTTCTTAGTTGATTAGTAATTGTTAGTACGTGTTAGTGGAGAGGCATTTCATCTATATACAATAAGCATGGAATATTTACACAACTGTACACTCAAATGCCAAAAACTTTACACCAAAATATACACTCAATTGTAGCAAGCACACGCGTTCATATCACTGGATCCACTCTAAACGTAATCCATAAATCTTCGAGGCGGTCGTTTTGTCCTCGCGGGTAGCTCCCGACGAGAAGGCGGTTGTGGAGAGGGTGGAGAAGAGACAGCCTGTTGTGTCTCTTGCGATGCTACACAAGGGCTGCACAGAACACTAGGCACTGCACTGAGGGGGGTACCGAGTGGCACTGCTGATTGCCCACTGTCACAAGGCACAGGTGACGGGCTGAAGGCTGTGCTGGGTGAGCGTGAACATCTGGCGTTTGGATGACTGGGTGAGGCTGGGCGGCCTGTGCAGGAACCTTGCTCAACTTGGAGGAGTTCCATGTTCGCCCATCGTCTAGGCAGAAAGAGGCTGGCCCTCGTTGTCCCACCACCTTCCGAGAACGACTGAACGAGAGGTCTCCTTTAAAAGAGACTGCCGGCTTCTTCACACGGACCATGTCTCCAACTGCTATGTTTGGTTTCTTGGCTGCACGGCGGAAGTCTGTGTACATCTTGCTGTATTTTTGCTTCTGTGCGACTCTCTTCCGAAGCTGGCCAAGTTCTTTGGCAGGGTCTGTGAAGAATGATGGGGATGGGTGCCCAATGATGTCCAGTCGTGTTCGGGGCAGTCGTCCATGTAGGAGCAAGGCTGGTGCTACTCCCGTGGTTGCGTGAGGTGTGCACCGGTAAACACCCAAGTACTTCCAGTGCCGCTTGTCGAAGAGGGCCATGTTCTAACGCAGCAACCTGTACAAAGTCCTTAAAACACGATTAAACCTTTCGACAAGTCCGTTGGCTTGAGGGTAATACACCGAAGAATGTGTCAGTCGGATACCACGCTCATCCAAGAATTCCGAAAATTCTCGTGAAGAAAATTAAGGCCCGTTGTCAGTGACTATCTCGTCAGGGTATCCCTCTCGAGAAAAAATTGACAGCAAGAAGTTGGTGATCGTTCTTGTAGATACCTCGTTGGAGAATTGTACTTCGGGCCACTTAGAAAAATAGTCAACCAGTGTAATGGCGAACCTACAATCTTGAGGAGCTCTTTCCAGAGGGCCAACAATGTCTATGGCGACTTTTTGCCAAGGGCGCTCTGGAAATGGAACAGGTTGCAGTGGAGCAGGTGCCGTTTTCGCACTCTTGTCGGCCTTCTGACAGACGCTGCAGTTTTGTATTGCGACTTCTGTTTGCCGGTCCATACCCGGCCACCAAAACCGTTCTCGAAGTCGCGCTTTCGTCCTGACGATGCCGGGATGAGCTTCATGCGCTGTGGAGATTACCTGATGCGCAAGGGACTGTGGAACTACAAGTCGCTCCCCACGAAGAAGTAAGTTGTTTACCACTGACAACTCGTTGCGTAGCATGAAGTACGGCAGCAGATGGCTTGGGACGAGCTTGTGCGGAGGTCATGACGAAGTAACGTATTCCTTGACTTTTGCCAGAGTGGCGTCGTCACTGGTGGACTGCTCGAACTGGTCCTTAGCGATGCACAGCGGCTCGACTAGGAACACAACTTCTGTAGAGTCGTCTTTAGGTTGAGGTGTGCATTCCGGCTTACCTTCCGCTGGAAGACGTGACAGCGCGTCTGCTACCTTGTTCTCCGAGCCCTTGCGGTATTCGACGGTGTAGTTGTAGCGTAGAAGTCGCTCAGCCCACCTTGCAATGCGAAAGGGACGTCGCCCTGTTCCTTGTTAGACAGCAACGCTACCAATGCCTGGTGATCCGTCTGAAGAGTGAAAGGCCGTCCCCACAAATAAACATGCCACTTTTCGCATGCCCACACGCAAGCCAATGCTTCACGCTCGCTGGCGGAGTACTTCCTTTCTGCATTGGTTAGAGTGCCGAAGCAAACGCAATGGTCAGGGTTTTCTGACCGTCCACTTGCTGCAAAAACGGCACCTAGCCCGTATGCAGAAGCATCAGTTGCGACAGTCACTGGAAGAGCTGGGTCAAACATGTGCAACACCTTGTGGGAGGCCAGAAGAGTCTTCACTCTCTCAAAACTTGCTTGGGCGGCTGTGTCCCACTCAAAGGTATGTCTTTGCGCAGCAGTCGAGCCATAGGCTTCGACTTCCTCGGCTAGCCTAGGAATGAACTTTGCGTAGTATTCGACAAGTCCTAAGAATGAACGGAGTGTGCCGGGTTCTGCTGGTGTGGGGGCGTGGACGATTGCATCGACTTTGGCTTGAAGGGGGTGCTATGCCTTCCGCACTGACACGATGTCCAAGGAAGAGAGTTCTGTTGCATTGAAAACACATTTTCGTTAAGTTCAGACCTGCTTTCGCAATGCGATGCAGAACTTCTTCCAGGTTCTTCGCATGTTCTTTCTCAGTCTTCCCGAAGACGATGATGTCGTCTATGTAACAAAGAACATCATGACAGCCTTGCAGGATTCTTGTCATGAGCTGCTGAAAGGCTGCTGGGGCCGACGCCAATCCAAAGCAGACCCTTTTAAACCGAAAAAGACCCTCGTGCGTAACAAACGCTGTGAGATCCCTGCTGTCCGGGTGCAGCAGGACTTGGTGGTACGCAGAGGCGAGGTCTAGCTTTGAGAAGTGGCGGGCTCCGTTTAAGGCATGCAGCAGTTCTTTAGTGTGAGGCAGCGGGAAGTTGTCGACCACAATGGCTTTGTTTGGCTCCTTAGGTCAACACAAAGACGGATGCTTCCATCTTCCTTCTGGACTGCGACGATGGGAGAAACCCATTCGGAGGCATCGATCCTTTCGATGATGTCGGCAGAGAGCAGGGTCTGTAGTTGGTCGCTTACTGGTTGGCGTACTGAGAATGGGAGGCGCTCAACTTTTGGGCGACTGGGGAGACTGCCTGTTTCATCTTCACCTTGTGCTGAAAACCTCTGACAAGGCCCAAACCTGGGGTAAACAGGTGAGAAAACCTGGCCCACCAGCAATGCAGGCATGCCAAACTTTGGCTCACTCTGCGTTGCTCTACGATAGCGCCTTGCGGTGGAATGCGCCCTTGTGCGTCTGAGCTCGTTGCAGGCAACGTTGAGGTTGCGGAGGCGGACGTTTGCTGAACGACCGTGTGCAGGCAACGTAGCTCCTTCCCTGAAATTTAAAATTCAGGGCTTGCACAGCATCTAATCCCAAAAGGGAGGTCCCACTGCGCGTTACGTAAAGCGGTACGAGGCTGTTCGTGCCTTGTACGACAGCGTTGCTTCAAACCGGCCAAGCACAGGATCTTCTGGCGTGAACAAGTCAAACAGAGTAATGCTGGTAGTTCCTGATTGTACTTTAATCTTGAAAAAGGTTTCGAAAGTGACCTTCACCCAATTATTGACACTGCAGGAGTCCCTGTGTCGATGAGAAACGAGACTTTGCGCGTGAGCGGGCTTCGAGTGTTAAATCACCGACACGTCGACAGTCAACATACAGGCCTCTGCGTTTGTTTGTGCAGATGGTCAAAT